GATTTTTTAATCAATTCCTTCTGAGAAACTAATTTACCCTTATAGTTTATTTTCTCTATTATTCTTTGTCTCTGTTTCTTTCTTAATTGATAAGCCAACCATCTCCCAGGCTTATTGGCATTACAAAATGTATTTTGTTTCATAAATAATAAGTTGGTTGCAGCTTGATCTGCTATCAACATATTAAATTGTGACCTTAATAACTTTACAGATTCTTTAATACTCTCATCAGAAGGATTTAAAATCAAAGCCCTTTCTTTTAATTTAATTTCATCTTCAAGTTCTCTACGTTTCTGAATCTGATTTCGCTTATAAAAATTATTCATTTTTATCAAAACACCGCGCATAAATGCTTTACCTGCATCCCATACCATTGACATTGAAGTCCCCTTATACATATTCAAAGCAAAATAGTCCTTTAAACACTCCTTTAGTTTTTGAACATTCTTTTCTTGTCTAAACAAATTTTCATTAACTCTCCAGGATCTTCTTTCCTCTTTCTCTTGAATCAGCTCCATCCAAACTGGACTATGATCCGTCAGTGATCTAGGAAAAATCTTTACATTCTTTACTTTATTATACAAGTCCGTGGTAATCAAGAAAAAGTCAATTCTTGAAAAAGATTGGTGTCTATCAGAAAAAAAAGTAAAGTCTCTCTCCTCTTGATTACGTTCCCGCCAATAATCCCTTAATTCCCAGTCTTCTTTCATGTCAAAAAAGGCTTTAGGTAGCCTTGCTTGTTTAAGAAAAGGAGAGGAACCTTTCTTATCCCTTAGTGTATCTAAGACACCATTCCAATCACCCATTAATACCACTGATCTATAATCAAGCAAAGTTATTTTTTGATGTAACTGTTTATAAAATTGTTCCTGTTGTTGATTTGGAGCGTAAAGTCCAACTATAAGTACTTTCTTACCATATATACCAAGTTCAATCATCACATATCTCCCCTGGGGATCTGATTCTACCAGACAAGCTGGTAGGTTTTGTTTAACATATATAACAACTCCCCCTTTCTTCCCAGGAGCAGGAGATATAAAATGAGATCCCAAACGAGCATTAACTAAATATTTCTGGTCTTTAAGTAAAATATGAGTTTCCTGTAGACAAATAACATCATTGGTATGTTGCTTCAAATAATAAAAGATTTTTTTCCGTTTCTGAGGAGAATTCAATCCATTAACATTCCAGGTCAAAAACTTTGCCATCTCCCTTGGCACGCAGCCTGGAGAAGACACCATCAAAATCTGACAGAGCTGCGTGTGTTGCATAACTCTTGGGTCTTGCTCCTCCCACCGGCGGTGAAGCACTTCCAGGAGAACTCTCTTTGGGCTCTTTTTTACGTTGCTCCTTCTCTTTACGCTTATAGGCTGCACGAGTCATCCTCTGCTCTTTAGCCTCCGTCTGGCGTTGCTTTGCCGCTTCTATCATCCCTGCGGAAACCAAATCTAATGCCTCAGATTGCTGCTCAGCTTCCTTACCACTCAAAGATTTCCGACCAGATGAAGTTGAGCCTGCACCCAGGACCGAAGTATAAAAATCTCTAGCTTTATCAACTGTGTTCAATCTGTAGCGTGTCCCAGCATGGCTCAAAACAATACCCATCGGAATTTCCCATCTAAATGGCATCGATCTAGCTTTAAGCTCATTGGTTAAAAAAGCAAAGTCTTTTCTACTTCTTAAAATTTTGGATGGGATTTCCTTTAGAATGATGACATCTTGGGCGGCAATCTGAAATCTTTTGTTGTAAAAGGCTTGTATAATCTCATTCCGCAGGGACTTCTTTGTAAAGTAAATCACCACATCTCTAGGCAAATTCTTCTGCTTAGCAATCCAGGAGTTGAGTCTATAAATTTTTTCCACTTCTCTCTGTAATTCTCCTTTATCCATATCCAAGGCCAGCGCCAGATCAGTAAGGACCACCTCCACCAAATCTTGATTGATATCTTCCTTGAGGCCTCTAATCCTCAGGGCATACTCCATCTGTCTGTACTGAAACATCAAAATATCTTCTTGTGAGGAGTCCACCTTCCTTTCCACGTCTTGAATTTTGTCATCCAAAGAGTCAACTTTGTCTTCCACTTCCTCAAGCCTTGCGTCGAGCTTAACCACCACAGTAGCCAAACCTGAAACAGCTGCCAATATATCTTGTCGTAGTTCATTATTATTTTCTTGCAATTTAGACTTTATCCCCGTTATCTCTTCTTTGAGATCAGATTTAATTTCTGATTTAATCTGTGAAACAAATTGATTCATTTCCTCTCTCATTTGAACTACAATCTCTCCCATTATGCCTCTAACCTCTTGTACTGAAAGTCCAGGTAGAGGAGGGGAGGGTGGTGGCTGAGCCGGTGGTACATGTTTAGATTGTTGTTGTAGCTGTGCAGTGGAAGTTATAGGAGAAGAAATAACCTTAGGTGCTGAGGAAGGCTGCTGCCTCTTTGAAGCCATTTTAAAAAGCACAATTGTCACTTCCCTTTCCCCTCCAGCCAAAAAGGGAGGAGGAAAGAAAAAAAAAAATTTTTAAAAAGAGACAAACTATAGTCATTAAAAGTCCAGAGTAAATCCAAAGAATAAGTAGTAAAAGAGCAAACAGTTCAAAAGAAAAAATTCTAAACCAAAAGCAAAAGCAGAAGCAAAAAACAGTCCTTAGAAAGGGAAAGTAAAACAAAAGAGAAAGGAAAAAAAACTCCGACAGTTTCAAAACGCCATCTTAAATCCTTTCACTAGTATAACAAAAAAAAGGAGGAAAAATAGTAAAAATCAAAAGATAAAAAAATAAACACCTAAAATATAACAAAAAATCCTTTAAACTGCTCCGTCCGTTTAAAAATTACTCACCAAAATGCTGTAAACACGGAGATAGAAGCGGCGGTTTCTTTTGCTTCCTAGGAAGCAAAAACAGCTGGGAGGCGGAGATCAGCAAGAGCTCCGAGGGAACACTCCTTTCACCCCCTCTAGAAATAAATCCAGAGGGGGTTCAGGGGTTCTACCTCTACTCTTGCGTTCTCTGTCCCTTCCCTTTGCCCGGGAAGGGATTTCCGAGCCGCGGGCCAGCTGATGCGCGCTGCGCTCCGCGGCTCTGACACTTCCCCAGCTGGACGGCTAAAAGCTAGCCGCCATCGCCGTCGCCTCCCACCGGAAGCGAGGACACAGATATTTTTGACCAAGGTCACCCACGAGCTTTGTGGAGTAAGGGGAACTTAAATCTGTGCCTCTCCGTTCCAGGACCAAGACACCAATCCATTGAACACACTGTTTTACTATGGAGAACCACCGGGTATTGCAAAAAAAGGAAAAGAAAACCAACTTTATTGAAAAGGCATCATGATACAATGTCAATTCATTATGATAAACCTAACATCTCAACAGGTCTGGAATCATTGAACCTCAATCTTCATCACTGAAGTGGAAAAAGAAAATTCATTTTCTCTATATGTTTTTACTTACATAATGTTGTATCTTTGAATCAATAAGTAAAATCAAAATTATGCAATCATCTCTCATTGCATATATTAAAAGCAAGGAATATTCAACAGACACTTTATAAAAATGTGTATCTATGATATGAATACAGTATATAAATATACATTATTTTAGAGAATTTCTTTAAAGAAATTATAGGTTGAGCAAATGTACAGATATTACAGTTGGGAAAAGCTTAATTTCCTAATCTGTATAATCCAGAAAACAGGATTTGAAATATATAGCAAAGGAGGGAATAAAATAAACCAAAATGGGGAAAAAAATCCCATCAGTGAACGCAGATCTGATTTTCAAGAAAGAAGGATTTGCTCACATGAAAAGAGGAATTATCTAACTTGTTGGGAGGACATCAGGTTAAGGAAGCTAATTCAAATATAAAGATGAGAAAAGGAACAAGGCACCAGATCTGAGTATTTATGAACATGTGATAGCAAAGAAAGATGCAAGCAAAAGCTTTGTAATGGAGATATACAGTCATGACTCTCCAATTTCAAGGAACTATTCTGACAAATGTATTTAAACTTGTGGTATAAGCTAAATTAATCCACCCAGTTTTACCCAGCATCTATTTCTTTCTGTAACCCTCCAGTACAGCGGTTCTCAACGTTTGTGTGACGGCGACCCCCGTCACACAAACGTTCTGCGCGTGCGCGGTGGCGCCCCCATGTGCGGCACGCATGCGCGGCGCCGCCCCCTGAGGGGAGAAAATGGCAGATCGCCTTCTTTGGCGACCCCCGAAAAATGGTCGATCGACCCCAAATGGGGTCGCGACCCATAGGTTGAGAACCGCTGCTCCAGTACAACAGAAGATGAAGCTTCTCTGCTACTGTGAGTGATGAAGACAACTGAATAGATCACGAGTTACCTTTTCACATCTGTTCACAGTCCTTTTGGTGCTGCAGCTGCCAAAAAACAACAACAACAACAGTCCTAGGCTGCATTAACAGAAGGATAGAATCAAGATCACACAAAGTGTTAATACCACTTTATAATAATTGGTAAGGCCACATTTGGAACACTGTATCCAGTTTTGGTCACCACGATGTAAAAAAGATGTTAAAACTCTAGAAAGAATGCAGAGAAGAGCAACAAAAATGATTAGGAGACTGGAGGCTAAAACATGTAAAGAATGGTTGATGATGGTATGAATTTAATGAGGTTTGATGAGAAGAAGGACCAGGGATGACATGTAGCAGTATTCCAATATCTAAGGGGATACCATAAAGAAGAGGGAGTTGAGCTATTCCCCAAATCACCTGAAGGCAGGACAAGAAGCAATGGATGGAATTTAATCAAGGAGAGAGCCAGCCTAGAACTAAGGAGAAATTTCCTGACATGAGAACAATTAATCAGTGGAACTGCTTGCCTCCAGAAGTTGTGGGTGTTCCATTACTGGAGGCTTTTAAGAAGAGATTGGACAGCCATTTGTCTGAAATGGTATAAGGTCTCCTGTTTGATCAATGGGTTGGACTAGAAGACCTCCAATGTCCGTTCCAACTCTGTTATTCTGAAATCCTGATCAATACCTAAAGGGCAGTGCTATTTAGGCTCATCTCACAAACATTGGCAATAAGAAAAAAGTCCTATTCTTTTATAACAAGATTTTTTTTTCTCCGAGTCTAGTGAACTTCTTTCACTAAAATATAATTTGAAAAGAATAGGCTGTCATTTCTTCATCAAAACGGTCATGACTCCAGTCTTTGCCAGATTAGGTAATCCAGATACTAAATGAATTTTGTAGACTGTATAGAGATATATCTTTAATCAAGAATGAATTATATTCAAAAGCTGTGACTCCAAGTTGGTGGCTAATGACCATGCAACAAAATAGTTAGTTTTATGCTTTACAATAATAGATCACAAGTTCAAACAATGAAATGTATTGTGCAATGTTGCCCACAATGTGTGTTTTCTGGTTCCTTAAATGACCTGCATGAAACAACATCAGGTGATTGTCTGGGTAGCTGAATTGGATATCAAGTTATGAAGCCACTCCCATACCCCCTTAGAACTTTTGTATATAATTACATGGATTGTGTGTACATGTTTGCCTCTCATACCCCCTCAGAACCTTTGTATATAATTACATGGATTGTGTGTTTAGCTCTCTTTTGTTGTGTTCTCATCATATGCTAAGTAATAAATAGATCACAGGAGCTTCCCACCAATCCTTTTATTCTATGATCATTACACAGTTGTACATTAAAAAAAGAAAATTGGTAATCTACTGAAGGTACTTTTTCAAGAGGCAACTGGAGTTTTTCTTTGAAGACATTTCACTTCTGACTGAAGCTTCTTGGATGAGAAGCGAAACATCTTCAAGGAAAAACAAAGAAAGTCCAGTTGCCTTTTGAAAAAGCACCTTAGGGACAACCATGACTTGGATGACTGAGACTCTCCATAGACATTTGTAACCTACCAGTTTAGCCACTGTTTTTCTCCATCTTTGTTAAGATAGACTTGTTAAAGAATATCTGGTGTGGAGATGGATTCTGAAGCTCCGGAGCTTGATGCTCCTAATAGGATGATATAGTAGTTTTCCATCACTTGTCAACAAAGGCTATGCTAAGAGATCTGGGAGACCTAGAGCCTTTCTTTCGAAAAGTTTCCTCACTGCCTCCTTGACTTCATTGTTCCTAATGGTGTAAATGAAAGGATTTAACACTGGGGCGACCATGGTGTACAGTATGGAGACAGACTTCAACCTACTGAAGGAAGAGTTCTTGATGGTAGGTCTTAAATAGACAAAAAAGACTGACCCGTACAAAATGCAGACTACAATCAGGTGGGAAGCACAGGTAGAAAAGGCCCTCTGCTGTCTGGTGGTTGAAGGCATTCGGAGAATGGTGGAAATGATGAAGAGGTAAGAAACGAGGGTGAAAAGCAAAGAGGACATAATCACAACCACCGTAACTAGAAAGCCAAGCACTTCAATGACTTGTATATCTCCTCCTGCAATCTTCAGCACGGGTCCCACATCACAGTAGAAATGGTTGATAACATTGAATGTACAGTAGGGTAGTTCTGCTATCATCACTATCTGATAAAGAATGGAGAAAAAACCTCCCAACCAGGCACCTATTGCTAGTTTAAGGCAGACCCCAGAAGTCATGATTGTACCATACCTCAGGGGATAGCAGATGGCGAGGTACCTGTCCAAGGATATCAAAGTCATGATAAAAAATTCTGTGACCCCAAAGAGGAAGTAAAAGTACAGTTGTGTTATGCAACAGTAGAAGCAGATGGAATTGTTTGCAGAGACATAATTGACCAGCAGTTTAGGAATAAAGGCTGTGGTATGTCCAATGTCAATGCAAGACAGGTTGCTAAGGAAGAAATACATGGGCTTCTGGAGATGGTGGTCCAGAATTACCACCACAATGATGAGCCCATTGCCCATCAGACACAGGAGGTAGAGCAGAAAGATGCCAGCATGCATCAAACCTTCGAGTCCCCAAACTCTTGGCAATCCAACCAGGATAAACTCTACCACTCTTGTACAGTTGGTCAAATCCATGTTACCCTATAAGAAAGGAAAATATGAAATCTTCACTGAGTCAGTCTTTAGCTACATTTTTTAAAACACAATTTTTATGAATTACAGTTCCAGTTTTTGCATCTTCTGTGGATGGAAAATATTGACGAATAAAATAAAGACTCTGATGGAAGACGTTGAGAACATAAAGAGAAGAATATCAGTACTTTTGTTTCTACATGGAGACCGCTTCTGGAGTTTGTGCTTGAGGTGGAAAAAAAATGAAACTTTGATTTTGGATTTTATTGATTAGATTGATTTGTTGTTACAGAAATGGCTAGTTTATACTATTATGAAAAAGTAAAAAGTTGAGGTTCAATGTTAACACTTTATTGTACTGCAACAGAGGAAGTCAGAAGTCAATGTCTTGTCTTGTCTTTTTCCCTTTTCCCTCCCCATTGTATCCCACTATTTGCTTTGTATTTTGTATTTTACTCTGTAATTCATTAAAATGTATTAAATACTACATTAAAAAAGGAAGACATTGAGAACATTAGGAGAACATTTGTAGGTGGAAACTCATTTGGATACGCAAGATAGATGTGTTGCTGAGAGAAAGAAAATAAAAGGGTGAATGGATAAGCATTTATGAATGTAAGATATAAAATTATGATACTCAGCCAATAAGAAATGTGTTGAGATGTTGAAGAACAGCAACGAAGAATGCCCCACCAAATAAGATTCATGGTTTGTAGGCATCAACACATTTAGTGGTTTGTCATTTCGTGGTTTGCTTCCTGTCACAAAGCAACACGGTCTGGTTTGGAATCTTCACTACTTCAGACAGGAAGGCAGTGCAGAGAGTGGTGAGAATGGCTGAAAAGATCATTCCCTCCCTTCCATCCAGGACATAGCACACAAGTGTTGCTGGAGCAAGGTCTGCAAGATTTTCTGGGACACTACTCATCCTCTTCACAACATGTTTTCCTTGTTACCTTCAGAGAGGAGGCTCCGTGGTATCCGAAGCAGAACATCCAGATTCAGTCACAGCTTTGTTCCATACAGTATTAACCTTGTGAACTCTAAAGCTTCCTCCTTCCATTGTGTATTCAAGATGGACAGTGATTAATATTTATATGTTACTTATATGTAAGCGTGTAGGTCTATACATATGTTGTATACAGTATGTTTTAAATGTGTGTTATGTATGTGTACACTTTGAGAGGAAGCAACTAAATTTCATTTATAATGTGTGCCATTGTGCCCACAGGAAAAATATAATAAAGGTTATCTAATCTAATCTAATCTAATCTTATCTAGGCATCAACACAGTTTGTAAATGTATATTTGGTAAATTCCTTTCTCTTCCTGGATAAACTTGGTTGTATCCTAAACTACAGAAAGGACACAAGTAATGTATTTCCACATGCATATACCCAAGCATTCTTCGGAATAAGAAGTCAAGATCCTCAACAGTGAGAGATTGTTCTCCATTTCAAGGTGAGACAAGAAAAGCAGTAATAGAGACACCTGTTAACTATATTTCAAAATAATAAAAAAATTATTTTTACAAGTTCTTAGTGGATATTCTGGATCCACAAACAGAATCTTCCAGTTTCAGTAGATTTCAAAGAAATATTTTATCTACTCCAATAAAGAAAAACATATTACTTAGTATTTTCAAAGTCTTTTCTGCCCATTACCTCATGGACTTAAAAGTTACGGAGCTTGGGATAACATCTCCAGAGGAATATATCTTTAATTTCCCATGTGTATCCAGACATGATGCTAAAAAGATACTATTTTGAGTCGCCATGGTGGTGAACCTGGTATAGTTTGAATCAAATTGCTCCAATACTTGTCATCTTCTGTGTATTATGACTTCTTGAAAGGGTCTTGCAGGGACAATAAATAATGTTTTCCTCCCATATAACTTTCCTCTCCTATGAAATGTTCTCTCTTTCCATGGAACTTAAAGGGAGAAAATTATCTACATTAATTCCAGAGCTCACACTGCTGAGGTTATATTTTATTCTTGAGGAGTGTGCGTCTGCACAATTAAAAGTATTTCTGTTCAGTTAAGAATTCTTGCCTGGCCCTAATTCTCTGCAATCCTCTAAAATCCTCTAAAATATGTTGGACATCTATAGCTGCAGAAATGTATTTTCAGGTAATCCTCAACTTACAACCCCACTGAGTGGCCATTCAAAGTTACAATCTCACTGAAAAAAGTGACAGAGGACCCTTTCCCACACATATGACCGTTGTAGCAGCCCCATGGTCATATGACCAAAATTCAGATGTTTGGCAACTGGCATGAACTTATGACAGTTTTGATCACATGTTGTGACCTTAGGGAAGTCACTTAACAACTGTGTAATTAATTTAATAACTGCAGTGATTTGCTTAACTGGGACAAGAAAGGTCATAAAATGGGGGCAAAACTCACTTAACTGTCTTGCTTAGCAATGGAAATTTTGGGCTCAATTATGGCCATAGGTTGAGGGCTACCTGTATCTTCCCAGGAGACTTCCAGCCTAGTGCATAAAAGAAATTCAACCTCTTTGATCCTTCCCCCCCATATAATTTTTAATTCGGATCATTACAAAGCATTTATTAACTTGCAACATTGTATGAGGCTTTTCATGAAGAATTTGGGGGTGCCCCCTCTGTTATTAATGGGAGGATTTATTTTTGGCATCCCCTTCCTGTTAGTTGTGTTCAGTTCTAGGGCTCATCTTTGTTTCTTGGCTGAGGTAGCCAGCATTGCCTGAAGACAATTCCTATATGCCAAGGCCCGCAGAATGCTGCTGTTACCTTCCCACCGAAGTGGTACCTATTTATCTAGTTGAATTTGCATGCTTTTGAACTGCTAACTGGGCAGGAGTTGGAGCAACATTACTACTTAGTACTATAGTTGTTTGGCTGCTAAAAGAGTGCTAGATTGTGTAGTTTGCACTCATGCACTTATCCAGGGTGCACCACAGGGGGTGAACTAGTTCCGCACCTGGTGCGAAGGTTCTTGCTGAAATGGTCCAGGAAAGCTACAATTGTAGCTTTTGATGCTGCAGAATTGTGAAGTTGAAAAAAATGTATTTTTCCATGTAATCCTTCATTTCTTTTTTTTCCATGATTGCTTCCTAGCTACAGCTAGCAGCTAGAGACCGGTGAGGTCCCATAGATTGGGCCTCCTTCAGGTCTCGTCGGCCAGACAATGTCGGCTGGCGGGCCCTCGGGGAAGGGCCTTTTCTGTGGTGGCTCTGACCTGGTGGAATCAACTTCCCCCCGAGGTTCGAACTACTCCCACCCTGCCGGCCTTTAAGAAAGCCATTAAAACTCTCCTGTTCCGGCAGGCCTGGGGCTGATGTCCCCGGGGGGGGGGATATGATCGGACATGCTGTATGATTGTATTATTTTATTGTTTTATTGTTGATGATTGTTTTAATTTTGTACGCCGCCCTTTGGGATTGGGCGGCATATAAATAAAAATAAATAAATAAATAAATAAATAAATAAATAAATAGCATGCTTTTATTTTGATTTATTTATTATTCATTACATTTATTTATGACATTTACAATTCTTATTTTTGTTGTTGTTGTTTATAAATTTATTTTTCTGTCTATGTCAGGAGAGAGTAACAGACACCCTTTCTCTCCCCCCCCCCTCTCTGTTTGATCCTTCTGGAATGAAGAACTTTTTAACCTTCAATGTGCTTTCAGGTCACTGAAATTGCCATACCACATTGAGACACCGGGTGGCGATCCTGAGATACCACAGCTTTACCTTTGTCTTCTTAAATGCCAAATGTTGAGTTTTCTATAGGGCTTTGAGGAGACCTCACAACCAACCACATCAATCGATTTACAGCACTTGTACCTAAAGCTCTTTTAAAAACAGAACTTATTTACCTTGAGAAGAAATCCACAGATTGCCATTTGTCTTTCTCATCCACCAGAATAGTTGTTCAGGACTGCACTGATCCTTCAGATCTATTTTTGGGTGTGTGGATCTCCTCTCCTTCATCCATGGCCCTCATCTGGGTATGCATTGCGTTCCTCATTTCACTCTTAAGTAAGTGATTCTTTTCCATACTTTATGAACACATTAAGTATTTATTTCCTCCCAATATTAGATCATAGTGTTTGGCTGTGCATAACGTCAATTGTTTAGGTTGCTTTAAATCAGGTAGATTCTCTGGAAGATTTCTTGGAAATTGGCAGTAACGTATCTGCAAGGAATTACAAAAACTGAACAGTAGTATTCAGCTGAAATGAAACATATGTGTGTCTTGTGTGTGTGTGTGTGGTGATGGGCATAATGGAAAGAATTTCTGGGAAGGAATTTGTCCGGGACAGCCTTAATAGTCAGCATAGATATTTGCAGACAGCAAGAAAGTAGAATAGAATAGAATAGAATAGAATAGAATAGAATGGAATGGAATGGAATGGAATGGAATGGAATGGAATGGAATGTGGAAGGGACCTTGTAGGTCTTCTAGTCTAGCCCCCTGCTCAAGCAGGAGAACCTATACTGTCTCAGACAGGTGAATGTCTACTCTCTTTTTTAAAATCTCCAGTGATGGAGTGCCCACGATTTCTGGGGGTAAGCTGTTCCACTGGTTGATTGTCCTCACTGTCAGGAAGCTTGTCCTTAATTCCAGGTTGCTTCTCTATTTGATCAGTTTCCAACCATTGTTTCTCGACCTTCCTTCTGGTGCTTTGGAGACTAGTTTGACATCCTCTTCTTTGTGACAGCCCCTCAAATACTGGAACACTGCTATCATGTTACTCCTATTTCTTCTTTTCTTTAGACTAGTCAAATCCAAGTCGTGCAGCCGTTCTTCATATGTCTTAGTCTCCAGGCCTTTGATCATCTTAGTTGCTGTACTCTGAACTGTTTCCAACATTTCAACATCTTTTTTGTAATATGGTGACCAAAATTGGTTGCAATATTCCAGTGTGGTCTCACTAGGGTTTTATAAAGCGGTACTAATACTTTGCATGATCTTGATTCTATGCCTCTGTTTATACAACCCAGGACTGTATTAATTACACTAGCACACTGCTAGCTCAAAGGCACCAAAGTTGTTTCTGAAAAGAGAAAGAAGGACCTACTTGTTCACCTCTCCAACTCACTTCATGCTTTCTGCATTACTTTCTGTCCAGGAAGAAGCACAGGACAGTCAGTGGACCAAACATCTGGCATTGTGACTGTTACTGGAGGACAACTGGTCTCTCTCAATTGTTCCTATGAAAAAGAGTTTCCTGTGACAAATGACCTTTTCTGGTACATTCAACATCCTGGTCAACCTCTGAAATTCTTTTTGGCATCTTACTTGAAAAACCCTCAAGGATTCCAAGCTACTCACGTTTCCCATGAAAACAAAAAGGGGACTTTCAATTTGCAGATACGTGCCTGCCAACTGAAGGACTCTGCTGTCTACTTCTGTGCCTCCAGTGAGACACTGTGTGACAAAGTTAACAAGAAGCCAACAGAAAAGTCACAAAGGGGGAGAAAAGCAGTGAAGGTGTTCTCAGAAATGAAAATTCCAATAGTTCCTTTGAGATTAAGGTTCATGAACATAGATGGACGTAATCCAGATCAACCTTGCAATGGAATGGAGAGGTAGGAAATTAGGATATTTGTGGTCACTCAGTATCTGATCCCAAGAAGAAGGACCACCTGGGAAAATAGAAAAATGATATTTAACCATTTGGAACCACTTATCTCCATAGTCATGCAGAGAATGCTTCCACGTCATTGAGATTCTAGCATGGTGAATTTTCCATTCAACATTGGGATTCATTTTTCCATTTCTAACCTTTTCAGGTTGACAAGATCAGAAATGAGGAGGTGATCAGCTGCCTGAGAAAGCCAAGGGAAATCATCAAAACAATTAAAAAGTGAAAATTAGAATATTTCAGACATGTGATGCGACACCCAGAAAAATACGCATACTCCATTTAATCCTCCAGGGAAAGATTGAAGGCAAACGAGGTCCAGGCAGAAGAAGAACATCGTGGCTTCAAAATCTGAGGGACTGGTTTGGACAAAACTCAGCAGCACTTTTTCGTGCGGCTGTTGATAAAAACAGGATCGCCAACATGATCGCCAATGTCCGATAACGGATATGGCACAAGAAGAAGAACCCTTTCAGACTGACTGCAACTCACATTTGATATGAAGAACATCTCTCTCTCTCTCTTTCTCTCTGTTTCTGTCTCTCTCTTATTTATCTTCCAAGTTCCTTCTCCTTTCACGAGGCCAACAATGCCTGTTTCTTTCAGAAATCACCTTCAACCCTGGGATCCTTCCTTCAACCAAACTGCTTTCTTACACCTACAGTACTTTAAAACACATGGTGGCAACCTTGAAATAACTTTGGTTATTTGGTTTGCCTTCCTTTTACCACCAAATTTACATATTAGAAGTCCATTTCTTTGTGAAGGGAACAAGCGGTATAGCTAAGTTTCTTTCATAGCAAAGTTGGCAAGGAACCTCTGAAGGTGATTATACCAGCTTTGAAATCCCCCAAACATATATTTGTTTTTTTTTACTATTTTCATTATTCATCTGGAAAAATGATGTTGTGGTCTGTCCTACTCCTCATCATCTCAGTTTTAAGTAAGTATTTATTTCCTCACAATGTTAGACTATATGTTTTGGCTGGGCATATTTTGAATTCTTTGAAATCAAGTGGAGTAGGAACCCTAGAGAATGTCTGGAAAATTGACAATAGATTGTCTGCAAGGAATTACAAGAAAAACAGAAGTATTCAGCATCAATGAACGGTGTGTATTTTTTGTTGGGGAAAGATTTCAAACTACATTTCATTGTAGTTCTGAATACTGCACATGGACTTAAGCTCCTTTTTACATTTGTCACATTCAATGAATTCTGTTTTGAAAGCATTTAGAAATGAGGAATCCTTGATAGTAGCACTAAAGAAGGCACTTGGGTAGTACATTGAACCAATGCAGCATCAGCCTCATTAAGTAAGCTGGGCAAGAAACATAACCAGATGAACTAATTTTACTTTATTGTGAAACTACACTAAGAGAGTGTTGAAAGTACAAATCATCCACCATCTCCTTTCAAAGCCCAAGAAATTAGGGAGTGTCTCTTCTAAGCCTCTTGCCCTAGCTACTATTCAGCTAGAGGTTATACTGTTTGGTATCTGAATGTTCCGCAGGCTAGGGGTCCCCAACTAGCCTGCGGAAGTGGCAGAGGAGTGCACATGTCAAGTGCTTGCGTGAGTAGCAGGCGAGTGTGCATGTCAAGTTCCATTTGTCCTTCGAATATTTGTCCCATTCAATAAACAGACTTCCCCATTTCTGTTTTGAAAGCATTTAGAATTGAGAAATTTTTGATAGTAGCACTGAAGAAGACAGCTGGGTAATGTCTTGAACCAATGCATTTTCTGCCTCATTAGGTAGGATGGGATTTCTCCAAGGCATCCCTAAGAATAGAATGGAATGGAATAGAATAGAATGGAATAGAATAGAATAGAATAGAATAGAATAGAATAACAGAGTTGGAAGGGACCTTGGAGGTCTTCTAGTCCAGCCCTCTGCTCAGGCAGGAGAACCTAAACCATCCCAGACAAGTGACTGTCCAGTTTCTTCTTAAAAGCCTCCAGTGATGGGGCACCCATGATTTCTGGAGAGGCAAGCTGTTCCACTGGTTAATTGTCCTCCCTGTTAGGAGGTTTCTCTTTAATTCCAGGTTGTTTCTCTCTTTGATCAGCTTCCAAACATTGTTTCTTGTCCTGCCCTCTGGTGCTTTGGAAAATAATGTGACCCCACCTCTTCTTTGTGGCAGCCCCTCAATACTGGAATACTGCTATCATGTCACCCCTATTTCTTCTTTTCTTTAGTCTAGCCAAAGCCAAGTCCTGCAGCCATTCTTCACATATTTTAGTTTCCAGACTGCATAGTTGTTTGTGGACACCAAGAAAGGAGTCAAAACAGCACCAAGGTTGTTTCGGAAAAGAAAGAGAAGAATCTAGATGTCCGTTTCTCCAACTCACCTCATGCCTTTTACATTTATTTTCTTTCCAGGAGGAAGCACAGGACAGTCAGTGAACCAAACATCTGGCATTCTGACTGTTACTGAAGAACAACCTGTTTCTCTCAATTGTTCCTATGAAGGACAGTTTAGTATAAATTACCCATTCTGGTACATTCAGCATCCTGGTCAGCCTCTGGAGATCTTGTTGACCAAATTTGACAACAAGAACCAAGATTTCCAAGCTATTCACAATGAAAACAAGAATAAAGGGACTTTCAACATGCGGAAACCAGCCATCCAGCTGCAGGACTCTGCTGTCTATTTCTGTGCCTTCAAAGAGACACAGTGAGAGGAAGCAGAAAAGGAACCAGTCAAAAACTGGAGAAAAAGTATTAAGAGCAGAGACAGGGAGATATTGCAATTGTCAATTGATCCACTTAACAACAGTGACTCTTTCAGTTTCATGTTTCATATTAGGTAGTTCTCTCTTCCACTCTCCCTCTCATATCCTCCCAGTTTCCTCTCCATTCACCTGGACAATAATATATTTTTCTTTCAGAAATCACTTTCAACCCTGGGATCCTTCCTTCAACCAAACTTCTTTCTTACTGCTCCTTTAAAACACATGGTGGCAATCTTGAGGCAACATGAGTCTTACCAAGTGCCACATATGAAATCCTGTATAGCACATATGCTCTGTGAAACATATCCTGTGGTTTGTCTTTTTTTTTTTTGCCACCAAATTAACATATTAGAAGCCCACTTCTTTCTGAAATGAAATTTCTGTGTCTCTTCCACAGCAAAGTTGGCCAGGAAACTCTGAAGGTGAATATACCAGCTCTGAAATCCTCCAAAGATATTTTTGGTTACTAACCCCATTCTTCATCTGGAATCATGTGGCTGTTTATCATCCTCATCTCACTTTTAAGTAAGAATTTATTTCCTCACAAGGTTGAGCTATAGGTTTTGGCTAGGCAATTTATTCAGTTGTTCAGGTTCCTTGAAATAAGGAAGAGTAGGATCACCTGGAAAATGTCTGGAAAATTAACTGTCTGCAAGGGATTGCAAGGACACGGACAGAAATATTGCAAAAAACATGGACAGAAGTATTTAATAGGAATGAAGGCAGGTGATGGTTTGTGTGTGTTCAGTATGCTTGGTGGTAGGTATGAATGAAAGAATATAAAACAAGGAAGGAATTTGCCCAAAGCAACCCTGAAAATTAGCATCGATGTTTCAATACAGCATGAAAGTAGGTCCAACCAGCAGCAAGATTTTTTTCTGAAGAGAGGGAAAAGGACCAACCTGTGCACCTCTGCAGCTAACCTCATGTCTTCTGCATTTATCTTCTGTCCAGGAAGAAGTGCAGGACAGTCTGTGAAGCAAACAACTGGTACTGTGACAGTGATAGAAAGAGAATCTGTCTTTCTCAGTTGTTCCTATGAAGCACAAATTAGTAGCTCATTTTTCACATACTGGTATATTCAACAACCTGGTCAGCCTCTGAAGCTCTTGTTGACAGAGTATGAAAATGATGCCCAAGGCTTCCATGCCACTCATGATGAAGGAAAGAAAAATGGGACTTTCAATTTAGAGAAAAAGGCCACCCAGCTGCAGGACTCTGCTATCTACTTCTGTGCCTTCAAAGAGACACAATGAGATGAAGCAGAAGGGGAGTTAATCAAAAACAGGAGACAACAACAAACGCAAGAGAAGTTTTTTGCTATCTGGGACAAATGGATAAAATTTATACAATTTAGATTGGGTATACAAAAATATTATATAGCTTTTTCATAAGTTTTATTTTTATATATATTATAGATATCCTTTATATATATATAAATATAAAGTTTTTAATTTAATTTTTATTTTTATTTTTTTTTATTTTTTTTTTTTATTATTATTATTTCTTAAGCCTATATTCTGCTCTGGGAAGCTCAGGGGGGGGGAAGGGAGGGTTTTTGGGAGGGGTGTGGGGTGGGGGGTTTTTTTTATATGTATTGTTTAATTTTTTTTTTTCCTCTTTTGTATATGTTGTTTTTTGTTCTGTATTGTTCTTGTTTTTTTTTGTAAAATTTATAAAACTTTTAATAAAAAAAAAAAAAAAAAAAAAAAAAAAACAGGAGAAAAAAAAATAGTGTAGAGACAGGGGAATTTTGCATTTGTGACACTTGCACATCAAAATTCTTCTCAAGACTGAAAATAGCTCCTGATTTCCTTGTCCACTGTACCAGCTGGGTCAGAGAAGTAGTCTGTTGCTGCCAATTGAATTGAAGTTACTATAATCCTCATTTTTTCTTTCTTTCTTTCTTTCTTTCTTTCTTTCTTTCTTTCTTTCTTTCTTTCTTTCTTTCTTTCTTTCTTTCTTTCTTTCTTTCTTTCTTTCTTCCTGAAGTTCTGCAATTTGGTTTTTCTGTGACGTTATTCCGTGTTGGATGGAATAAGAGGAAATGTTACCTAACCTCTGGTAACCCATGTCTCCCTAGTAATCATCATCATCATCATCATCATCATCATCATCATCATCACAATAGAGCTGGAAGGGACCTTAGAGGTCATCTAGTCCAGCACCCTGCTCAAGCAGGAAACCCTATATCACTTCAGACAAGTGGCTGTCTGGCCTTTTCTTAAAAACCTCCAGTCATGAAGCACCCACAACTTCTCAAGGCAACTTCTGTTCCACTAGTTAATTGTCCTCACTGTTAGGAAGTTTCTCCTTAATTCCAGGTTGCTTTTCTCCTTGATTAGTTTCCATCCTTGCCTTCTGGTGCTTTGGAAAATAAATTGACCCCATCCTCCTTGTAGCAGCCCCTCAATTACCGGAATACTTGCTAACATATCCCCCCCCCCCAGTCCTTCTTTTCTCTAGACTGGCCATTCCCAAATCCTGCAACTGGTCTTCATATAAAACTCACATTTCACGGGTGTTTCAACACAGCAAGAAAGGAGCCCCAAGCAGCAGCAAGATTGTTTCGGAAAAGAGTGAAAAGGACGTATGTGTCCACCTCTCCAGTTAACTTCATTCTTTCTGCATTATCATTTGTCCAGGATTGGCTGCTAAAGAGCCGTTTCTTAGAGGAACAGGAGCAGGATCAGATTAAAAAGGAATGTGAGACTCTCCCCCTTTTTTCAGCAGCAGAATTCTTGAGGAAGTCTTCTCTTATTATTTCTATCTCTTTTGCCTACTGTCTGGCAATGTAGTCTAGACATGACATACGCCCAGGACGTACAAGAGGTATGCCCAACTAATTCTATTTTATTATAAGGCTACATTAATGGAATCCTACAGCTCTAAATGAACAAGATCACGTGAAGTATTAATACCATTTTACAATGCCCTGGTAAGGCCACACTTGGAATACTGCATCGAGTTTTGGTCACCACAATGTAAAAAAGATGTTGAGACTCTAGAAAGAATACAGAGAAGAGCAACAAAGAGGATTAGGGGACTGGAGGCTAAAACATATGAGGAACGGTTGCGGGAATTGGGTATGTCTAATTTAACAAAGAGAAGGATGAGGGGGGACATGATAGCAGTGTTCCAATATCTCAGGGGCTGCCACAAAGTAGAGGGAGTCAAGCTATTCTCCAAAGCGCCTGAAGGCAGGACAAGAAGCAATGGATGGAAACTAATCAAGGAGAGAAGCAACCTAGAACTAAGGAGAAACTTCCTGACAGTTGGAACAATTAACCAGTGGAACAACCTGCCTCCAGAAGCTTTGAATGCTCCAACATTGGAAGTTTTTAAGAAGAGACTGGATAGCCATTTGTCTGAAATGATATAGGGTTTCCTGCCTGAGCAGGGGGTTGGACTCGATGACCTCCAAGGTCCTTTCCAACTTTATTATTATTATTATTATTGTTGTTGTTGTTGTTGTTATTATTATTATTTGTCCCCCATTGACGTTACAGGCCAAGTAACTAGGGAGGGTCCTTTCCCAAGGCCCTTTAACACTGGGATCCTTCCTTGAACTCAGCTCTCTTCCTACACCTACTTTATAACATAAGGTGGCAATCTTGAATCAACATGAGCCTCAGCTGCTGTAGAAAATATGCTCTGTGAACCACACCCTGTGGTTTGTCTTCCTTTTACCACCAAATTTAGATGCCCTAAGTTGATTTATTTGAGAAGGAAAAGAGTTGTGTAACTTCTCACAGCAGAGTTGGCTGGGAAGATCTGAAGGTGACCACACCAGCTTTGAAGTCCTCCAAAAGGGTGGTAAATAACCGCTTCCTTATCTGGAAAGATGTTGCTGGGGCCTCTTTTCATCGTCTTCTTCATCATCTCACTTTTAAGTCCATTTTATCCTTCACTATTTTTGATTATAGGTTTTGGCTGGCCATAACTTGAGCTGTTTAGGTTCCTTGAAATCTGGTAGAATAGGATCTCCTGAGAGATGTTTGGGACATTGGTATTGAATTATCTGCAAGAACAACAATGGATGTAATCTGCTGGAATAGAAAGTGTGTGTGTGTGTGTGTGTGTGTGTGTGTGTGTGTGTGTGTGTGTGTGTGTTCAGCGTCCTTTGTGGTGGACACTGCTTTCTTACCACTCCTTTAAAACACACGGTGGCAATCTTGAGACAACATGAGTCTTATCAAGTGCCACATATAATCCTGTATAGCACATATTCTGTGAACCATATCCTGTGGTTTGTCTTTTTTTTTTGCCACCAAATTAACATATGAGAAGCCCACTTCTTTCTGAAATGAAATTTCTGTGTCTCTTCCACAGCAAAGTTGGCCAGGAAATTCTGAAGGTGACTACACCAGCTCTGAAATCCTCCAAATATATTTTTGGTTAGTAACCCTATTCTTCATCTGGAATCATGTGGCTGTTTATCATCCTCATCTCACTTTTAAGTAAGTATTTATTTCCTCAGAAAGTTGAGCTATTGGTTTTGGCTAGGCAATTTATTCAGTTGTTCAGGTTCCTTGAAATAAGGTAGAGTAGGATCACCTGGAAAATGTCTGGAAAATTAACTGTCTGCAAGGGATTGCAAGGACACGGACAGAAATTTTGCAAAAAACATGGACAGAAGTATTTAATAGGAATGAAGGCAGGTGATGGTTTGTGTGTGTTCAGTATGCTTGGTGGTAGGTATGAATGAAAGAATATAAAACAAGGAAGGAATTTGCCCATAGCAACCCTGAAAATTAGCATCGATGTTTCAATACAGCATGAAAGTAGGTCCAACCAGCAGCAAGATTTTTTTCTGAAGAGAGGGAAAAGGACCAACCTGTGCACCTCTGCAGCTAACCTCATGCCTTCTGCATTTATCTTCTGTCCAGGAAGAAGTGCAGGACAGTCTGTGAAGCAAACAACTGGTACTGTGACAGTGATAGAAAGAGAATCTGCCTTTCTCAGTTGTTCCTATGAAGCAGAAATTAGTGGCTCATTTTTCACATACTGGTACATTCAACAACCTCTGAAGCTCTTGTTGACAGAGTATGAAAATGATGCCCAAGGCTTCCATGCTACTCATGATGAAGGAAAGAAAAATGGGACTTTCAATTTAGAGAAAGAGGCCACCCAGCTGGAGGACTCTGCTATCTACTTCTGTGCCTTCAAAGAGACACAATGAGATGAAGCAGAAGGGGAGTTAATCAAAAACAGGAGAGAAAAAATAGTGTAGAGACAGGGGAATTTTGCACGTCAAAATTCTTCTCAAGACTGAAAATAGCTCCTGATTTCCTTGTCCACCGTACCAACTGGGTCAGAGAAGTAGTCTGTTGCTGCCAATTGAATTGAAGTT